CCTACTGGTGTGGCTGATTATTATTAAATTTATTATTAAGTTAAATTTATATAGCGCTCATTCCATAAAATGTTCAAGAGCACGTTACAATATAAAAAAAAATTCACAATCTACAAGGGTATATAGAATTGCGAAGGATGGATTGTGTCAAGGTTGTGGGTTTTTAGACCTTGTGTTCATGCTCAGCCATGCATAAATGCATGACTAGATTATATGTGAAATCACCCCATATTGCTCCAGGATACCATTCGCACTGCCTCAACACAATGACAGGAATTGCCAGAGGATTCTAAAGGATTGAGGCAGTGGGCACCCTCAAAGGAGCATCTTCAAGAAATACTGGAGAATTCCGGAGGATTGAGGCAGAATGCAATTTTTTGGCACAAATTATCAGAGAAATTTGAAGGATTGAGGGTGGTGCCTGGCAAAAAAGGCCGAGGGGGTTATGGCTAAGCCATTGATTGCACTGCCTTCTGCTGTCAAGCTTTTAGAAGTTGTCTTATAAGCCTGAGATTCATTGCTATGAAGACCAGTGTTGAGATGTGGCATTACCCAGCATGAAAATCAGTCTCTCTTTTGTGCAGAAATTGTGTCATTAGTTGAGGAAGACACGTGAGAAAACCAGGACACAGAAAGCAAGATAGGGAGTCTATGAGGTTTTTGTCCACACAGGAGTGCTAAAAGGGTATTTCTAAATTTGCCTGTAGTGAAGCTAAAATAAGCAGTTTATCCATGTGATTTGTGGATTTGTGTTTATGGGCAGTTTATGGAAGGAGTGACCGGTGTAAGCATTGTGACTGATTACCAGATGGTTAACCGTTTGAAACAGAAGCTGCAACGCATGACTGGCTGGCATAAGTGAGTTCTTGTTTGTTTGAAGTACATCAACTTTTACGCTTAGAATTATCCTTACTGTCGATACACTTTATGATGTTCGGGACCTTATACAGGGATTCTCCTGACAACTTATTTACCTCTCTTAAAGCCATATGTCCTTGTGGGAACTTACTTAAAGACAAATTTCGCACCTGAAAATTCATATTTAAGTAAGTTTCCACAGGGTGATATGGCTTTAAGAGAGGTAAACAAGCTATTCTCATTGTGTTTCTTTATAAGTAGTGAACCTTGAAAGAATTGCTTCTTGAACTGTTACATATTCTCATCACTAACCATCTGCCTGTATGTTTCCTCATCACCAAATATGATCCAGGGTCCAAATGTGACAAAAGACTTGATGATTTGTATTTATAGTTACTTCATACTTCAGGGAGAAATTATGACTTAGGTTAGGAGTCAACTTTATGAAGCACCGACACCTACAAGATGTAGTAATTGAAATTCCCCTGTATTTAACACAAAAAGAAAGTTACACTTGTAATTCACACTGTTATAATCTCTCTTCATTGTGAGCAGATTGGATTTCCCCGGTTGCCAGCCAGTGTCACTGGATAATAAAAACATCGCTGCTCTGAAACATAAACTCTACAAAGTCAGTTGGAAGGCTGATGGTATCAGGTACGCCCTAACTTTGACTATGGCAGCTCACATATATGTTGCTATAATTTCTGTTTGATCCTTTACATCGGCAGTTAGAGGTCTGGCACCACAGGGCTGTTGGACGCCTAGAGTCTTCCATGCAGCTGCTTCTTGATATAGGGCCTGTTTGTTTCACATACATCTGGAACATGATCAGTGATCCGAAGTTCATTCACTGACGCCAAAACCCATCGAATGGATAGAGTGGACTAGCTTTGGGATCCCTTCCAGATCGGTACGAAACAAACAGGCCCACTATGAGAGTGTTCCTAGTTGGCCCCTTGGTCTTTTTTTATCTTGTACGGCCTCTTCATTTACTAGACCTCATCAATATTTATCATTGCGCATGAATTCTCACTGGTCCATCTGCCATTATATGAGCCACGTTTTCTTGCTGTTCACTATGAAGCAATCATGGAACTTCAGCAGAAACTATGCACACACAAGCATTGTCCAAGCAACATACGAAAAGATGACATCAATGTGACCAACCAGCGTTTTCCTGTGCTCAACTGTGCCATTTGTATGAGGCATAAGGAACCAAGCATAACATGGTTCAAGAGTGGATGGTTGACATTAAGGATTAAATTAGGTACCACTCTATGGGTAACGGCTGCTCGCCACTGTTAAAGACTCATGTGTGACTCCAAGCCACAGTCAAGTAATTCAGACACACCCTTAGCTGCCCAAGATATTGGAAGTCAGTATGTAGGGAACGCGTCTGTCACCAGGAGTCACAAATCTGCATCTCGCTGCGATTAGTTCTTGTGGCTGTAATGTCAGTTAAGGGAGACTTTTGAATTTCGGCAGGTACATGATGTTGATTGACGGACCAGATCAAGTCTACATGTTTGACAGAGACAACACAGTATTCTCGGTCAAAAATCTCTCCTTCCCTAAACGCAAAGAAGAAGGCCACTTATCAGAAACATTACTGGATGGTGTAAGTACCATCTTTTTCCTATGCATTAAAATAGAGCATGCAGCACTGTGACTTCAATGTTTAGCATGTGTCTGAAGTTGATACCAAATGACCAAATCTCATGCTGCCGTCAACAACTGGTCCACAATAATTTGGTCTTTTGAAACAAGCCACATTGGGAAATGTAATTTTGACAAAATATCATATTGGGAATGGGAAACCCATGACGGGAAGACAAAAGGTTCCTTCCCTTCCACTCTCCTATTTGTCACTGCCAGCAACGCCTTTCTATTTTGAACAATCTTCATGCAAGCCACACAGTCGAACTGGTGGTAGGTGAAAATTGGCCCGTTCATAAAATGAAAACATCTTGGAATGTTTCCTTTGCAAACTTTTTGCCGTGTCTCGTTTAGCAGTGATCTCTTTAACTGTTGGCCCCTCTCAAAACCTTCCATGCCTCCACTGCTGCAGAATTGAAATTGCTGCGTCAAACCCTCTGGTCAGATGTGTCTGACTGACCTGCATGAAAGCACTACCCAGGCAACTTTTCCAACAGTAGTAGTAGAGTTAATATAACTTTCACGTCCTTGCATTTTACCTGTGTATTCAAAGATTTCTTTTCATTCACTCTTCAGGAGATGGTGGTTGATAAGGTGGATGGTCGGGCTATTCCTAGGTACCTGATCTACGACATTGTTATATTTCAGGTAAGACACGCCCAACCTGCGGCTGTACATGTAAATGTACACACACGGAGGACATGATCAGTTTACTTACATGTTTAGTATTCCATCCCACTGTGCTGTCAAGCTCATCTGTGGGGTGGGGTAGACAGGGGTGGGGGATTTGGCCGGGCAGAGTAGGGATGTGGTGGGACGGGTGGGGACTTGGTGGGATGGAATTGGGGATTAGATGGAATGAAACGAGGAGATGGAGAAAGACGGGGATTTGATTGGGTAGGCTGGCGATTTTTTGAGTTGAGTTGAGTCTAGGAATGGGATATAGATTTGAAGGTATGAGATGGAGAGTAGATGGCATATTGTGGGTTTTGTAAGGATTGGGTTTTGTAGGATGTGGATTAGGTGCAGCAAGGCAGTGATTGCGTAGAGTTGAATCAGATTTGTGGTGTGGGTGGAGTTATATTGAGTGCATGGGTGGAGATGGTTTATTGAGGCAGGCATGCAACCTTTCCTAGGATCAGCTGATTTCCTTGTTTTTCACTTCACGCTCATTCCATTGAAAATTGAAAAACATTGTACAAAATCTTGTTAAGATTGTGAAAAATTTCTTTGTTTTTTGGTCAAAGTTTCAGTTGGATACAATTTTAACTTGTTGACTCAAATCTTGACCCAGGACTAGCCGCTTTGAGGAATTACACATGAAATAGATGGTCTAACAAAACTGGAACCCTTTGATTTGACCCCTTGTAATTTGATTGCAGGGCCAGCCGGTGGGTAACTGCGACTTTGATCGCAGATTGTTATGCATCGACAAGGAAATAATTCAAACAAGAAATCAGCACATTGCACAAAGAGCCATCGATAAGACCATTGAACCTTTCAGCTTACGTATGAAGCAGTTCTGGGATATCACCAAAACAAAAAATGTGAGTCGAACTCTGCAACATCATTGTAAACTTATGTTAAAGATTTGGACTTTGCTGCTGTGAGTGAATTGTGGTTACCAATACTGACAGTGGTTAACCATATGCTGCCGGGTTGCATTTGAAATTGCATGACGTATTCCCAGGGCATTTTCAAGATTTTCCGTTTTCAAAATTCTCCAAAAATTCATAACTTCATTTTTTGGACGTTTACACCCACGCGAATGACTGTCTGGTGGCTTCTCTTATCTGACAGACAACTTCTGTTGATGCCTGAGCATTTCAGCCAGGCCTGCCGCCTTGTAAATAGAGCCCAGATTGTGCGGTGTTATGTAATTTTTTGTTGTTCCCGAAACTGGCCCAGTGCACTGCTGGCGTCTTTTCAAATGTGTACCATGAGCGTGGAGCAGTATTGTATCGCTCATCAGTGGAGCGCTTTTGTCCCCAGTGGTAATCTGCTCGCGCTGAATGCCACAAACAGTGGTAAAATCATTCAAAACGATGACGGATTTCCTCTGCTATTGACGACTGAAAAATGTTGGCAATTCCCAGCAGCTCTTTTGTTCCAAGTATGGTCTTCTGTTACAAGGCCAAGCTCCTTTGTCCGATTTCAGTCACCCCGGCTTTACGTATAAAGCCAACGTCTCCGGTTCCGGGGCTCCCCGGCATGAAGTGGTTAAGGACCCACAGATAGGATAAACCTGAAAACAGGGGTGTAGCAAAGCCATTTTCTTTAGGGGGGATGTGCCGGGGTCAATATGCCGACTTGTAACTTGTTACCCAAACCTCATGTTATGTAAAATTCAGAAAGCGCAGAAAATGGAAATCCGTGGTACGCTGCATGTACGGGGTGTGCTGCATCCCTCCTCCAGTAACTACACCCCTGCCTGGAAAAACAGTCAACCCTTTTTAACTCAAAATCGGATCCCTTGACACTCACCTTCGGTACTTGAAATACCTATATTGACACCTCCATATGAAAACATGAAAGAAATCACCACCCTGACAGTAACAGACAAGTGCAAACAGATCGCAAATACTTTTGGAGTCATCACTCCCTATAACACAATTTGTCTTTTCACGTTGGCATATGAGTCTCGATCAGGATCAATAGAGCGTGCAGTTTTCCTAGCAATGGAGGCCCCTTTGGTGGGAATTGCACTTCTCTGGTTCACTAACGACTGTGAAATGCATGTGTTATGGTCACATTGCTACCAACAAAATGGACACTCCCCAGCAACATGACTCTTTCCAACTAACGAGGGGGTTCCTCTGCTCAAGGCTGTTGATTTTACAATATCCAGCCCACAATTGCAATTTTGATTTGACCTGATTTGTACTGCTCACCCAATCGTAGCCCATGCATTGGCCATCCAATCACTGGACTACAGGATAGGGACTAGTCAAGATATCATGATGTGATCTATCACTGACGTGTGATATCCTAAGGTGGGGGTAATCATTCTGGGGCCAATGAAAATACTACTTCACAAAACTTTTTTTCGAGGCAAGAGCCTGCATGGTAATTAGAATTTGTTTAGGGGTGGGTTTTTGATTTATATTTTTATTTTGAACTTTTGAAATTCATTTTTCCTGCCAGATATTGGAAGGCCATTTTTCACAGCAGGAATTGGGCCATGAAACCGATGGAGTTATTCTTCAGCCGCAACAAGATGTAAGCTCAAATACCACACGGATATGATTAAAGGGCCGTCCATAAGGCATGTACGCACGAAATGCCGACTTTTCAGACCTCTCTCTTCCCTCTACGCATGGCGTAGGCAGTGGCTCCAACCCCCTCCCCTTATACGTATACACATTTCACGGTTCCGGAAGACGCTGCTGGTCTTTGTGTCATGAGTAATGATGTGGTTTACTAAAAATGGGCGTTGGCACGGGAGGATAAATGGTGGTTTGGATGGTGGAGAATACTGTTTGAATTTCGACGCACAAAAGCTGACTCTGATAGTTATTTGTATGAGAACGTGTATTGATATGATGAAGATTCATTAAAGGCAAATTTTTGGTTTGCATTCGTTATGCACTGACTTGAACCCCCTCTGTACACATGGTGTGTACAACGGCACCAACCCCTCTCCCCTTCGTGCGTACATACTTTACGGATGGCCCTAAGCTATATGGTCATTGTTCATAGTTGAGAAGGTGTAAATTTAGATCTCAAGCAATGATTTAAAATATATAAATTAACAGAAGGTCGGTGTTCATGTGACTTTGTCATAAGTTTCAGTCTGGTTTCCGTATGGTCACAACAAATGCTGACAGCAAGCCAAGTTTCATCTTTTTGTCATTCAACAAAAAGGTGACACAAAGTGACACCCAAACTCTGAAAGTTTAGTTCAAAATGCATTTTCCAGGTTCTTATGTTCTTTCTTGAGGCTAAACTGGTACCTCAGTGTGTTTCATTTAGGGTGAGCTATTTGGTTGATAATTGGGGTGTCATTTTTAGTTGTAAGGATAGATGGACCAAATGCGTGATACTGAAGTAAGAGAAGCATGACTATGTACCCACCCTGCCAGCATGATTGATTGGTTTTGAATGATTTTGATTGGTCTACTTAAACGGCAGATGGTTAACATTATCTATAAGTCCCTGTAAGTCCATCACAAGTCCATTCAGAAGCTATTGGAATGGGCTGTGACAAAAGCATTGTTTTGTCATTGTTCACCCTGTTACTTATGACTGGCCTTACGAAGGGACTTGTGACCGGACTTGTGACTGGACTTGTGAAAGGACTTGTGATGGACTCGAATACAACACTGGTGTCCCCATTTGCATGAGTCGCGATAAGGCTCTCCCTGTTTGGATTTCGTTCAGCATACAAGTCCCACTTTGTATCACTAGATTGTCAACACATGTACAGGTGTTTGTGGTTTTTATAATTGTTTGGGTTGAACTCACGGCAGAGGTATGCCCCAGGTCGATGCGACACTGTTCTGAAATGGAAACCTCCCAGCCTGAACTCAGTTGACTTCAAATTACAGATCACCTCAATGCGTAGAGAAGGGTAAGTCTTTGCAGCTTGTACTCTTACCTTGTGTGCGCATGCGTGCGTGCATTGAAATTCTCAGCTTTGCCAACACGAAAGAAAGCTGCCTTTCCTGCATCTTCAAAAATAGTTGTTGACCTGCTGGTGAATGAACTTAGATTAATGAGGCTATATTTTGCGGCGAGACGGACTAACTTTGGCAACTTCTGTTTGATTCCACGAGCCGGTGTTCAATGTGTTCTGAGTTTGTAGCCATATTCACATGGAATTCAAAATGCCCCTATGATACAATACAACAGATTTACACATTGATCAGGGTAGACTGTGACTCCTTTTGCTTCATCACATCTCACAGCAGTCTAACAAACATTTGCGCCCATGCTTCTGTCTCGTTTATGCAGCATGCTGCCAGAAACCAAGGGTTTCCTGTTTGTAGGAGGCTACCCCAACCCGTTCGCTGAGATCAAACTGACCAAGGAGCTCAAACAGTACGACAAGAAGATCATTGAATGCACCTTTGAGAATGGAAAGTGGGTGTTCATGAGGGAGCGGACCGACAAGAGCTTTCCGAATGGCCACACTACTGCTGTCGGTGAGTTCCAGGCTTTTATAGTTGCACAAGAGATTTTGGATATATCTCAGTTAATGTTTCCATGCTGGTGCAAGTAAAAATCATTTGTAGTATAAATGCGTTGTACAGTTCACCCACTCCTATTGGTCAAGAGCCCATCACGTTGGTGGTTTTGAACCAATAATAAAGATAATGAGAATATATTGGCACCTCTGAATGACAAATACCATGCACTTTATGAATACTTTGATATTATTTTTATTATTATAAAGGTGCCGACTGGTTTTAAAATACTTTCATAGACTCCAGCACCATGGCAGTCATAAAGAAAACCAGTAGCTAATGCTGCACCCAACAGCATTTCTAACGAGTTGCACTTGCCCAAATTGCGTCAAATTTAAACATTCTTGTTAACCCTGACTGTTCATTGGTGAATTCCTTGGTGTCACCGATATCTGTTTTGCAGCTGTGTGTAACAGCATTGCCAATCCTGTGACCAAGGACATTCTTCTGAATTACATCCGAGACTATGCCATAAAGCCAGGTGGTAGTAAGCGACCGTCGGGTGACAGCTCTAGCAGTGCACCACCAGCCAAAGCCATCAGGTTATCCAAACCACAGACAGCCGACAGCCAGTTAATGCCGCCACCGCGTCACGTAACGTCCGACCAGCGACCGGACGTGCAGACAGTGAGGGACAGGAGCTTTCAGAAGATATAGTGATTGAAGACTGGCCCATCCTAGACCATTCTATGTGCTGATTTATCACTGCTAAAAAAAAACCCTGAAGTATTCGGTATCGCTCAGCAGACACTGTTTATTATGATTTGGCTAGTTGCGATCAATTTCCTGCGATGGGCAAGGGATTGTACTTTCAAATTCATTACTGTGGCAAGGCACTGTGGAGGGCATCAGATAACCTGGTGCAAAACAAACACGATGGTCACTGTTTAAACGTGCTGCAAATTGTCACATACATTGATGCCAGGCCGATGCTGATTAGAAATGAACAGTTGAAAATTCCTTCCAAGTTGGATAATTTTTATACAGCGTCAGTTTAAATGCCCTGTAAAGAACCTAACTCCATGTACTAGAAGAGAAAGAAAACACTGCTGCTTTCTCCTGGTGGGTGCTGGGGATCTCCTACGTCTCAGAGCCTGATTTCTCCAGTGAGACTTTTCTGTCTGGGGGAAGGAGTGATGTGCCACACATGTATGATTGTGAGAGCTTGCCTCATTCCCTACATGTACGTCATCATTCACAATCAGGTTGTTTCGGGGAAGAGGCCTGAGGCTCTTGTTTACAGAGCAGGTCACCAAAAGAAATGTAAATACAGGTGTATATGTTATTTTGCTTAGACATGTGTGGCCTGCCATGTCTAATATCTGACGCTAGAAAATGCATGATCCTGGGTTATCAACTCACTGATTCCTCCAGGAAAACTGGTCAGTTGTTGATTTGTGAGTTTTGATATTAGATTCGTTTGTGTACATGTAGGTAGTAGGTAGAGGAAGGCACACGGAGGATATCAGTAAAGTAGTGTGAAAAGTAACAGGCAGCATCTGTGACTTGAATCAAGTCTAGCTGATTGTAAAGGACATTATTATAATACTGAGCAAGAGCTAGCAACAATGACAACTGGAAATGTACATGTACATGTATTTTCATCCAAACCTTTGTCTAATAAACAAACAGTTTCTAATAAAGTACCTTTTTTGTTTTTTGTTGATGGGGAATAATAAAATGCGAATGTGCCATTCATAGCTCATGACAAAGTGATCAGTACCAGTTATTATAAAAAAAATTGGGGTTTTTATGGTTCAGTATTTATTTTTTTTACATTATGCCACTGACTTGAAGGAATTGGAGCCTTCTGTGGCTATACAGCATAGATGGTCCATGCCACAGAAGCCTGCAGTTTGTCACTGAGGCATCCAGAAAGCCTTTCCCAGGTTGAGATGTTCCAATGAAATAGCTTTTAAGGTCGTAGTACCACCAGCAGGGAACCAACCTGAACCTCAGCAGAGAACTGTTCAAAGACGCCTCTCTGCTTTCTTGACGTACCCTGAGGGTTGGCAACTTTGCTGACCCTTTATCATCCTGAACAAAGCTGATTGCGAGGAATTTGAACTGTCCCTCTTTAGTCACGTGTGACAGTAGTATCTTGTTGCTGGAAACATAAAGCGACAGAATGAGATGAAATTTAATCTCATGGAAAACTTTTATTGCCTACTGATCAGTTCCCTTTGAATCTTTGGCACCCTTTTTAGGACACTGTAGTAAAGAACGTTGTTTGTGCTGCCGTACCATATTCATGAATATGACTTACATGTAATTCTTCCATCTTCTCTATTATCTTGTAATGAAATTATGAAATATTTTTCTTGTAACATATTTTTACTAAATACGCCAATTTCAAAAGTGAAGGCAGTTTAAAGAAGATTACAAGGCATTTTTTCCTTTTTTATGTATTGTAAATACATGTATACATAAATGTTCCTTTTTAATTTATGTCTCTTTTTCAAAGGTGTTAATTTTTTTCTCCATCAGTTAGATTGTTTAATTGGCATTCAGAGGCACTGAAATGGATTGGAAAAAATAAAAAATCTTAAAATGTAACATGAAAAATATGCGAAAGCCAGATTCTAATGTGTGGTAGTTTCACTACATTGCCTCTTGCACTGCTTGTTGCAATAACTGGCACAAGAGAGACTGTTTTGATCTATAACCTGGTGTAATTTGATTGTATAGACTTAATTTCAAGCTTGGCTACTTACTCAGAGGCCAGACCTTTCAGTTTGGTATTAAAGGCTGTGCTGGCAAATTGAACAATCATGCTGGTTGCATGATGATGTTCTGAGGTTATGTATTGTTGGTCAAACTGAATCAGTTGCAGCACAGTGCAGTGTGCCCTCGCTAAAAAAAACACAACCCAAAAGTAGCACTTATTTTGTCCCCAAAATTGTCAAAAACATGTGTTTTTGGTAGAAATTAAAACTCGTAGTGTGGTTTCCTGATACTGAGAGCTTCAGTATTGGTGCAGTTTTAGAGTGTGAGGAGTTTGTTTTGGAGAAAACCTCTCCAATTGAACTTGACCAATGAACTCAATCTGTAACGGGGTGATGATTTTATTTACTTCTCTATCATGAACCACTTTGCACCATTTAGGATCCCGTTCGGATGGAAAGTAGAAGAGGTTTTACCATAGAAAACCCGTAACAGTTCAATGTTCTCACTCTACAGGCTATTCCAATGATCTTATGTGAAAGGGTTTTAAATGGCATTTTGATCGCCATGGTAAACCCATTAGAACAAAAAAGCAGTTGACCTACTTAATCAAGATAATCTCAGCAATGCATCAGTGGATTTAAATGAAGTCTTCAATTTTTAAACAACATTCTAAGCTTCAGTTAGATTGAAAACATACAGTTTCCGCCAGTTAGTTTGGGAGAAAAGAAATACTACACCCTGCATGTGTGTTTGGTCCTGGCCCTTCATGCTTTGACTCCTTGAGACAAGTCTATCAGTTGTAAGTTTAAAGTAGTGGGGTGTATGTGCTGTATAACTTATGACCTTCAGACAACTCTGATAGTCTCTGTCCAGCAGTTGCGGGTATGCAGTTTCTCCTATCAATTAGCATCATATGACACTTTCTGAAATTATTTTTGTTTTTCGTAGGCTAATTTTGTGCAGTGTAATAAAACAGAAAAGCATGTCGATCAACATAAGTTTGAATTTGTTTAATGTCGGATACCAATATGACACAAGAAGTCATCATAATACAGTCAAGGGAATGGAAAGGTTTCTAACTCAAGTAACTTTGGAGTATTAATTAATGTACATGTTGAACTCACAGCTGCTGTATTTTGTCCCTTTTCCAAGGATTGAGTCATAAAAGAATAGGAAATAATGATCAAGGTTGACCAAAAGGAAGTATTTTACCTAGAAAAGCCTCTTCTGTGAGAACACCTCAGTGCTAAGTGAAGTTCCAATCCTTAACCCCCGAAGTATCCAACAACTAATTGAAGATATCCAAAGTGTTTACAGCACCTCTTGAATAAATTAACATTGCAAAAGGAAACTATTTCGTTTACTTCCTCCCTGTGCCCCACTCCAGCACTCTTCCCTGTCAGACTATTTTAGCTTGAAAATTTAACCTGGGTTTGGGGTTTTTTGTCCCCATTCTGGATTTTACTATAACAAAACTAAAATGTGTCAATTTCAATTTTGCTCAAATTTTGGATGACAAAGGTTACCAAGGTAATGGATTAAAATCGAGAGTTGGAATACACATTTAGAAGTAAAAAAAAATTTTTTATATGAATCAATGAAGTATTTGTATAAACACGAACAAGTAACTGTGTTGGTATTTAGGAATCCACTAGATGTCCCAACATCAAAGACATGCCCCTTCTTTATGAATGTTTATGGACTACAATTTTACAAGTTCTCTAATAAAGGACGGAAATTTGGAAATGTAGAAATCAATCAGACCTCAAAAACTAAGCATATGGATCATTCAAGTCAACCCACTGGTTTATTGAAAAAACTTTCACTTATAAATTTTCTACAAAAATGGTACAAATATCTTAAGGCACAAACTTCTTTGCAATGAACACATTATTCACAAATAAAACGTTAAGATGTTATGTAACAAATATATACATGTGTACAGTCAATTTTGTAACCCGCCACACAGCCTGCATTAACTAGAGTGCGATCTCGTAAATCCTATGCCAGCAATTAAGGCACAATTTTTCATTTGTAAATTTATTTACCTGTTTTTGCTTCTTTTACAGTATTAAAGTTAAATTCAGATAAGTGTACTTTAACCAGTCTCATATCTTAATGCTGGTGGGCAAAGCAGCAGCTACCAGTCTATCAGGGCTAGGGAACTACCCCCTCATGTGATGTAAGTAGTA